ATATATATATATATATATATATATTGAAAAATGCATACGCAAGATTCGTTCATGCGTTGTCACTTTATGGGAAATATTAAATGTTCGAATATTTTGGAATCATGCTGATTATTGGGATTGAAACGAGGTTCAATAGGTTAAATCATGATTTTATCGATATCAGTATCGGCAATAATTTCCTTTACAAATCTGGGGACCTTGTGATCCTCACCTGAGAATCTCGACATTTGTTCTTCGTGCATCTTTGGGGTGGGGGGGAAACGAAGAAGAAGAGGAGGAAGAGGAGGAGGAAAAGGAGGAGAAGGACGAGGAGGAGGAGGAGGAGGAGGAGGAAGAGGAAGAGGAAGAGGAGGAGATCATGGCTCTTAAGCAGGAGTTTCGAGCAATCTTTTGACGAGAAATATATTTTCTTTCATAGACTAAAGTCGACATTCTTCTTACTCTCTCTCTCTCTCTCTTTTTCTCTCTAACGCATATCTAATTTTTCCACGAAGAAAAAATTCAGTTTTCGTGTTTTAAACAGACGCGAATAATATTGGTTGTCCCATTTTTCGTAACGGGGTACGTATTCGTTCGATATTACGTTTCTCAATTAAATTTCACATTAAAAATATATTCGTTTGAATTTCGGGGAATGCAAGGCGGGGGGCAAAGAAAATTATTTTTCGTTCGAAAAGAAAAAGGCAGCGAAAAATGTTTTTGCTCTTTCTTTTTCTTTTTTCTTCTTAGAAATTTTTGTTGTTTATTGTTTTTATTATTTGAAAATAAAGAGCCATTAATAGCTTTGTGGTCGAACAAATATTTCGGTTTCTCGAAAATTGTAAGCTTACTTGGATTCGTTTTATATTCCGTGGACGAACGATTTTTGGATTTCATGAAATTTGCTTGTGTGCTTTTGAAATATTAAAAAATAGATAATCGTTGTGGTTATGCATTTTTATCTGTATATATAAATATATATGTGTGTATTTAAATATGTACTTATGTACACTGGTGGTATAGGCCTGAACGCGAGATGCTGCGACTACTATTCACATCGTTCCATTTTTTCCGGGGTAACGAACAAGATCGATCTGGGACAATACGATAGGTCAACCGAAAATCTCGGCTAAGTTACCGTCGCCATCATTAAATAAAACGTCAATCGAATATTTTCCATTTTTTCCCGTTTAAAAATAATATTAGGTTGGCAACTAAGTGAGTGCGGATTTTTTGATTGGCAGTATTATTCTTTAAGCAAACGGATTTCACGATTTGAAAATCATTTACAAATAAAGATAACGAGAAACGCGCGCGCAAAACAAACTTGTATTACAAATATTGAAATAATATAATAATATGTAATAAAATACTGGAAAAATTTATAATATAATTTATAATAGTCTATAATTTATATTCGAACAAAATTTCGTGACCGTAATAAGATATACGACAAATGAGAAAATATAAAAAAAGGATATATATATATATATTATAATTTATCTGTGGGGGCAAACGTAACGGTAGATCTCTTCTTTCTCTTGTATTGCGGCTCTTTTGAGCGGTTTCAAGATCGCACGTGAAAGGCAAGTGTGGTATACCGATCGATCGTTTTAAATTTCTGCCAGTCTACGTCGACCCGGTCGATCGACAGCACGTCACCTCGAATGCAAGCTCCGCATCAACTGTCCGCATCTTTCACGGAATAATCTCGATAAATATCGCGTACGTAGTATAGAAATTAAAAAAAAAAAAAACAAAAAAAACAAAGGAAAAAAAAAGAAGAAATCCCGCGAACGTTCGTCGAATAAAATATTTCTTTTTAATAAATATCATCACGCGTTACTAGATTTTTATTCGAATTAAATATTTATCATCGTTAAAAAAAGTACACCTTTGTGACGCGTTCCGGTGGAATTTCATTTAGCGAAAGTACAATTTAAATTTCAAGGTTAAATGAGAAAGGTTGATCCACGGAGGGCCGCCATCTTTGTTCCTAAAACCACAAAGTTTTATCGTTTTTAATATTCCACGATTTAATATTCTATCCCTTTCCAATTTTATTTCCTTTATCTGGGGGAAACATTTTTCTTTTTTCTTTTTTTTACCAATATATTTATAACACAGTTTATTTATTTATGTATATATATATATATATATGTGCATCGATAATTATTATTTGTATTAATTATTACGGATAAATTTATATAGATATATACTTACTATATAATTCGTATTCTGTATTATTAATTGATAGCATATATGCATAATAATAATTAACAGAATCATCTTTCATTTTTAAACATCAACATTATTTAAACCTATTTTTTAAACCAAACCTTCGTTAAAATGATAACGATTTTTATTTAAATATTTTTAATAATCTTAATTAATATTATTATAAAAAAAGATTGATCGAATCGTGGGCCCTGTTTTTTTTTCAAGGTGCCAATTCGTAGTCATCAAATTCAAGATCGGATGTAAGTGTACGCGTGTGCAACGGTGTAAGTGTGTGTGTCTCTCTCTCTCTTTTTTTCTCCCTCTCTCTCTCTCTCTTTTTTTCTCCCTCTCTCTCTCTCTCTCTCTCTCTCTCTCTCTATCTTTTTCTCTCGCTTTTCTTCTTTCGTTGTGCACATGTGTCGTAGTCTTTACAAAACTCTGCTACAGTAATTGGATGAGAAGAAGAAAACTTGGACGGTGGACAATAAGAGAAACAACAAAATGGATACTAAACCTCTGCGAATCGTTTCCGGTCTTCTTTTTTGCATCTTTGTGGGCTCACATGTTGGTAAGTTGTCAATCATTTTATTTATAAACAATTTACCAAATTTTTACCCCAAGATTGATACTCTCATTAAAAAAATATTCATTTATTCATATAAATTCAAATTCATTAAAAATGTTTACTGGATAATTTTATCTACCGATATAAATAAGCGTATATATATATATTTATAATAAAATTAATTAGAGAGACTTACAAAAAAAAAAGTGAAAGGAAAATTTTTCGCAGGAAAAAAAAGTTATTTCGTTCTAATACTCAATCTTAAGTTATTTCAAACAGCCTACTCGATCTAACAGAAAATCGTTTAGTTGTTAAGCAATCCGAAAAAGAGGATTTTCTCCCACGTTCGGTAAAGGACGAATCGTGGGAGTCACTCCTAATTTTCATTCAGCCGAAAATTCCTCCGCTTATGTCAGCATTCCTTCATTATCGTTTCTCCGATCGCCTGATTATTCTCCTAATTCAATGATTCACGCATAAGATTCAACCTCCCACGAGATCTCATCGTGGTAGTAGACGACATTTACGTCACTTAGTCAAATCAGAGACTTATTATTATTATTAACAAGATTAGAATTATTTTTTTGTTTTCTTTCTTTTTCTTACGTATTTGGATCATCACACCTGTATCATCTAAATTAATGAATCATTTTGATAAATACTATTTGAATACAATGCGATCAGATATTTTCTTTTTTTTTCTAAATCTAAAATAAAGAAATCATTCAAATGAAATATTACAATCTTGAAAATATATATCATTTTCAACAAAATTTATTATTTTTTAAGATAATCCGAATAGAGAGTAATAAATTTATGGAAAATAAATGGTAATTGATTAGTCATTTTCTTAAGGATTGGTATTATCCTTGACGTTAATTGTTAAGCTTGTCTCTCTCTCGACATCATTTATAAAAAGAAGCAAAATAACAAAGTAACGTTGGAATTTTGTCGTAAAATATGGGTGGTGTACATACATCTCTCTCTCTCTCTCTCTCTCTCTCTCTCTCTCTCTCTCTCTCTCTCTCTCTCTTTCTACGGTGTGTGTTATAATTTGAAAAGTATGAACGATTTAGAGGGCAAATTGCTCGAGGAAAAGGAGGACGCGACACCCAGGGCCTTCCGAGTGGAAAGACGACAGCAAATGCGTCGTCGTAATTGTATAATGGCCGTGGTGTGTTCAAGTTGAGATACGAAGCCCTGGCCTGCTTTTTGCTCGAGGACTTTCACTCAACGTTTCTCTCTCTCTCTCTTTTCCTCTCTTTCTTTATCTATCTTTCATATATATATATTCTCTTCTTTATTCACTTTCCAACACCTATCTTCAGTGTTCATATTAAATTTTCTTTCCTCACGTTGTGAAATTGAAATTAATTTATATCACGTTCACACACAGTAAATGTTTATGATAAAGTTATTGAACTTTGTTTCTTTTGATTTAGTATTATAAAATTGGTATCAAATTTATTTTTCGATCTAATTCTAAGATTAATTATTAATCTCTATTTAATTTATATACATTTATGGATTGATTTTGTTTCGAAGTGTTAGGAAAATTGTATTTTCTTATAAGTATGCACGAATTTGATTGGTTCTTTTATTATAGGATACCTTGTATACGTTGTCTACTCTTTTTTCAAATTTTGAATAAATCCATAATACATTTAGAAAAGTTTACGACTTTATATACAATTTTGTACAGAAATACAAAGTGTTATCAAGTTTTATGAAAATTGTTCTACATACAAATATAGTTTGCTATAATAGAATAAATACATAATAATTATTTATAGAATATTATATTTTAATATCTATCATTTGTGTTGAAGAACACACACGCACATATAATTTTAACGTTAAATATATAAAATATTTGCAATAAATTTGAATAAATCCATAAAAAAAAGGTTTATGATCGTAGGTAGTTCATGGAAGGATCTTGAACCCTTCTATTTCAGAAACATGATGCCTGTATCCCTGGACTAAGGGTTTACAGACGATTGCACGCGCACATCATGTAGCTTCCAATAAAGCTTCGCTCGAGTGCTCGATCAGCACTCGACGAATCTCGAATCCAACAATAGCTTCGTGGTACGTCCATCTATCTGAAATAACCCATAAGGTCTCTAGAACAAGTACTATATATACTATATATATATATAGGTATATATATATATATATATATACTCATATATAAATATATATATGAGTGCTGCAAACTTTACTTCTTTTTTCTATCTTTCTTACATTTCTTCCTTCTATCGTTTTTGCAATAGCTGTTAGGTCTACATATCCGGATACAAGCAAAAGAATTTAGTTATTTTCTTCCTAAGGATTTTGTACAAAATGTTTATACGTGATATAGAATTATATTTATATGATTTTTATAAATCTCAGATATATTAAATCTTATTTCATTTCAATCGATCTATAATGTTAAAAAATATCTAAAACATTTTTATATCAATAATATATGCATTTTTATTTAATTTTAATGAATTAACGTGTTTTGTATATTATTATTCTAGAAACTTTTCAATGATCATAATATTGAATAAATTCCACGTATTATAACTCGTATATAAATAAGATTTATAAATATAAAAAAAAAACGATATAGTTTCATATTATAGTTAAAATCGTCACGCATCGGTGCTGCTATTGCTGCTGACATACAGCACACAGTTACGATTAGGTTTGTCGGACGATAGTAATCATAGACGCATTCGTTTTTTCCCTTTTCCTTTTTTTTTTTTACCATCCTTATCTTTTTGTTCTAGATACATACTTACACACCAATGTTTATATATATATATATTTTTTTTTTCTATACGTTATCTGCTTTCCCGTGGGATTACTTCCGGTTCGACGAGTCCGCCATTACTACCACAAACTCAACGAACAGCATACCGAGTTCAATCCCCGAGCTTTGTGTCATATTACATACAGAATATGACTCGTCCCTACACGTATATATTAGTTCCTACACGTATATTATTACATACATATCATATCATACATACATACATACACACACATTTACAACACGCGTATATCAAACTGGTCTCCCTACATAAGCGATTATGTATAAGTAATATGTGTGTAGACAGTTTGCGCATGCGTACCTTGCAGTTTCCCTTTCCTATCCACTACTTACTACTTATTTACGTGTATACAAGTGTCACGTGTTCAACGTACTTACTATGTATTACTTTTTCTATCCTTATTTCTTTACATACGTGTGTGCACGCATGCACCACGTACATGTGTGTATATCTACATTACACATATATTTATACGTATACACATAAATACGTATCTCATTTACAATAAGTGTGTGTGCCCTTGTATTAGTGAGAGAGTTTCTCGTTTTTTCTTTTCTTTTTTTTACCCTCGGCATACACCGACGTAATCGTCTGTACTACTTCTACCTTCCAACCCCCTCCCTCACCCCACTCCTAGTTTTTCTTTTTTTTATCACCATCAGAGAGCGTCAACCCCTTACCCCCACCATCACTTTTTCTCAAACTATTACCAATACTTCACTGAAACATCATCGAGCGTATATTTTTTATTTGAATTTGGAATGACGTTGTGCGACTCGTATACGAATATCCAATATTTTTCTCCCCTACGTTTATATTAATTATTATTTATTTATTTATTGTGTTTTTTTTTTATTATTATATTTCTCTTTTTTTTTATAATCTGATCATATATAGGAAAAGGATTTTTCTTTTTCGTTGGTATGATCGTGTTGTAACACGAGAAGTAGTTTGTTCATTATTATTTCAAATTTTTGTTCATAGATTGAATTTTGAATTATATAATAGAAATAATAAATCATGATAATTTAAATTGTAAATTTATTGTTAGATTTTAATCGATAATATTATATTTCCCCCTTGCCCCACATAGTTTTTTCTTTTTTTTCAACTCAACGTTCACCGGAGACTTGTTACCTTGACATAAAAATAAAAAAAGAAGAAGAAAAAAAAGAACAAACTCATAATCGTTAGGAATGTAAATCCTTGAAAATTTAACTTCGCGTCATCCGGTTGGCCCTGATCCAGATTACGTTCGATGTCGATACGATCGTCCTGTCTCGTGTGTGAAATTCGATCGATTAACAGGATATTAGAATAATTGTCAGCTATTTTATATGCCCTCCTGTTATGTGTTAATTAGACATTTATTTCTAAGCTGTTATATTAAAAACTACTGACACCACACACAATTTTAAGTTTTATTTTTATTATATATTATAAGCTGTAAATAAAAAAAAAATTACTAGAAAAATATGTCCTATGGATAAAAATTATAACAGTTAAAAAAGTCTAAGAAGAAAAAAAAAATGAAAACATCCCATAAATGTTGAACAACAACAATGTAATATTGAAAACAAATTTGATTAGTTTAAAACTCAACTGGTGTAAATTATTTATGCACACCCATAAATTTATTTCATTTTACATTTGAAAGTTGGAATGCGTGGTATTCTTTTTTTTCTTTTTTGTTAAATTTCTTATTAAAAAAATAAATCGACAGGGTATCCTAATTTTTTATTCGTAAAATTTTAATCAGAGTGTTTTACAAGTATCTCCTGTATACGATGTACCTAAACATAATAAGTGTTTGATTAGAGAACCGAAGCATATATGAAAAAGAACTTTTGGGTTTTCCCCTCTTGTTAATACAAAAGTTGCTTGTTGTTGGATTAAAATGGAGAAACCTTTGAGTTAAGGGATGATCAGTGGTCTCACGCAACGATTCTCATGTTGTTCAGCCTATACTATGTCCGTTGGGAATCGCACATCTGTCGACCCGAAAAGCAACAAGTACATGCTATTAAATGTATACCAACTAGTGACTCCAATTACTTGAAGTAGTCCGATATTGCATTTATTTCAACAACCTATCTACTACCCTACCCCACGTAGACCACCCACTCTTAAATCATCTTTCTAATTATTATATGGATTATATTATTTGTTTGTCTTTAT